CCCACCAGTAGAAGCAGGACTTGGAGAGAGTGCTGGAGCAGCTGCCTCAGCCAAAAAAATTTCACTAACTAGGACCCAAAATTTCCCCCAGTTTGCAGCTCCAACACTGAATATCAGCATCGAATGCTAAAATCCTTGTTTGTGACCAAAATGGGTCATCAATGTCAACAGGGTTGGAGCTGGCCCAGCAAGACCATTAAAGAACCATTATTGGCTTTATTCATAGAATCATGGAATGGTTTGGGCTGGAAGGGACCTTAAAGATGGCTTGATCACAGCACAGGCAGGGGTGAGGGATTGCAGTACCTATAGGGCTGCTCTCCAGTGTGCGTCCTCAGGTGACGTGTTAGGTTTGCAGATCTTGGGAAAATCTTGCCACAGTATCTGTGATAAGAAAAGGTTTTATAAGACAATGCAACCTTCAATGTCTTCATCCTAATTTCAGCTGCACTGGATGCACAACCCGAACGCAATCATTAATATTGGCATTGCTTTGGTGTAACATCTCAATTAAAGCATTCAGCAAATGTAAGGGATTGACACAGACAAGAGAATGGGACTGGACTTGCTGGCACCAACCAGCTTTGCCTGTACATAAGCAAGGGATACATGAAAACATTCCAGTTTTAAAGATCATCCCAAGTTTCTATACTCACTAGGTGATTATCATCCACATTCAGATTTGGAATCAAGAGAATCTGTTATTAAAGCCTTGGATTTCTGCCTCCGTGTAAGCAAATTTCAAACCTTTCAACCAATTCTACGTGTCAGCAAACGTGACACTGTCCTGTGCATTGAATAGGATCAGAGCAGACAAGACTCAAAGACCTAATCCATCAAGGTATGTTTCTATAACAACGTGTCTTGAAAGAAGGTGACATGTTTTCAAAAAGATCAGATAAACCGATATGCCAGTGTCAAACGCTTGCACATTCTGGAGATGATATAGAGACCTAAATAATGCAATTTAAAAACCATTCCCCAAACTCGATAATATGTCATAGGAAAAATAATGGCAAAAAAAAATATTTATGCTGAGTTGTCCCCCACATTCAAGTAACATGTTAATATTCAGTTTATAATTCGCCCATTCTGTTAAGGACATTGAGCCCACTTTTGCATGGGGACAGAGCACACACAGCACTTTCTTAAGTGAATCAGGATGCTGGTTGCTCCACATGACAACTTTGAAGATTGCATCCCCTCCCTTTTAACATCCCATTTATTTTTTCACAACGTGATGTATAAGCCTTCAAAATACCCACACAGCTAATTCCACCTTCCTTGACAAAGCTCCCATTCATTTTGGGTGCACATACAATGACTATCTTCATTGTGGGGCTTTTTTTAAGTCTGTGCACACAAGTCCTAATAAGTCATGTATTTTATCACTGATCCCTTTGGATATTAAAACCAGAAGCCTGAGAGAAAACACGTCTGTAGTTCATGATCAAAAAATCAATAATGAAAGCACACTTTTACATATGAAAGTGATGAGAAAATTTGAAAAAAAAAAAGAATTGTTTATATAATAGTTTCCACCTCATTTATCAAACTGGTATGATACAAGGCAAACTCTTTGTTTCATAACACCAATGATTTAATCAACATGAACCCTAAAGGGAAATGCTTTCCAGGATTTGTTGGGCACAGAGAGCCCTGAAAAGACCTGCCATGGTCCCTGTCAGCTGTCTGAGCAGGGGGGACTTGGGAAACATGGGAGGGCAGTGTGGGGTGGCCGTGGGGCTACCTGCAAGTGTAGCGCTCCTTGCCCTTGCGCAGCAGAGTCTCGGGCAGGGCGCTCGGCGGTGCGCGGAAGTTGAACATGGATGGCACCGACTGGATCAGCTCATTGGCCTCTGGTTTCAGGGCACTAAAGCTCTCCAGCTTTTCGGCCATGTTCTCAATAGCTGACATCTGCAAGAGAAAAGAGCACAGAACCTGTCAAGGTAAATACCACTCCGGCTTTCTGCCCTCACTTGCAACCCGAAATACAGAGAATATACACTGACAAGAGAAAATAAAAGGAAAAGAAAGCCAATGTAGAGTTGCAGTCTCAAAAATTATGGGCCACATTAAGTGAGGTGGTGACCTATATGTTGTCCCACTTGGAGTAATGCCCACACCTGCTACAGCAGGATGCCGATCTAATTGTTATAATGGAAAGCTGCTTCCACACAAAATCTACATCAGCCAGTGTTCATTTCTTCTTATTTTTAAGCCTCAGATTCTATAAAATTCCAGTTTACACAGTCATCCTCTGGGTGTGTGCCTATGAGTCTATGTGTCCTATCTACTGCCAGTATTGACCATTTTGGAGCTAATCAACAGAAACAATAACTGAATCCTACAGGTTTGGGTTTTTTTAAGGACTCGAAGATGACAAATATTGCAGAATCTCTAGCTCAACCATGGGTTGCAACAAGCCAGATCCAGAGAAGCTCCATCAATGTCCCAGCCACATCCAACCATTCAGTCCAGTCTTCTAGCCCACCACAGTGAAAGAGCATGAGATAAATCCAGAAGAAATGAAGCTTTGATGGGTTTGGTGCTTTGTGTTTACATTACCTGTTAGATGGCTACCCTATTTTTCTACAACCAAAATATTCCTGTTCTACCTATAGGTGCTTGTAAACCCAATGTGCTTTGAGATGTCTCCACTCCTAGTTAGGTGTCTGTAATTTGCAGAGAGTGGGGATTAAATAATTTCTGGAGAATGGTTTCCTTTAAGGTGTTTAGACCAGACCATAAAAAACTCCTCCAAAACCTCAAACATTGCCACTTGAAGAGTTCAAGAATGCTGCTGAGCCTACTGACAGGTGAGAATAACCATCCACCTCTGCATAATACCACAAACGAAAAATAAAGAATGCCAAAATCTCACCTACAGAGCACAAAAACCACAGCATGAGCCCTGTGCAATATCTGGCTTGTAGTGATGATGGAAAATATACGAAAGACAAGATGCTGAATACTTCTCAGCTGGAACACCTCCACAGACTGTTCTTCAAAATCCATAAAAGGCTGTCTGATTGAAATTTTAAATGGAAAAATTGCACATTTGTTGGGGTTTATTCAATTTTATTTTAATTGGCAGAATTACATGTTTGTCTCCTGGAATGACTATTTCCATGCTGGTTAGCTCTTGCTTTGGGCTAGGTTGGTTTTTTCCCTTTAGCCTGTAGCCTGCCCTCTCATTTCATGCTCAGATTCCTAATGCCGAGTACAAATTGCAACGTACAGGGTACCACTGCCAATTTGCCAAATGTCTTTCATCAAACAGGGTGAAAAAAAATAAAAAATCTCAGAGGGAAGTCAAGATACATTTACTTGTCAGGTAGCAAATGTGAAAGCATTGCGAGGCAGTAGGGGCTGTAAGCTCTGGGGTTTGATTCATAATCACTCAGCTGCTAAAACATTCTCCACAGATGCAAGTGGACAGCACATTTGTCAATATGAAAGATTTTGACATGTACTGATCACAGGCGTGAGATATATAATGATGATGCTGCTGGGAGAGGAGGTAATTCTATCTCGGCACCAAGATGTCATTATCAACCCATACAACTCAACATTACCATATATTTCTTTTTATACAACTTCATCTTTTCCTTTAGTCAGAATTGATTCTTGAAAGCTTTTATAATAGTCATTCCACAGCCTTTAATTCCTTCTAATTGTTCCCTGCAAAAATCCACTGCTCTATTTTACAATTGCTGAAAATAAATGGTTTGAATGAAAAATGCCCTTTGGCCTTCGGGCTGATTAGCAGTGACAAGACAGTGCATGGGTTATGATAGCACATATTTATGGTGAAGAATAATAAGGGTATTGAGATGTATAATAAATGTTTTATTTACGTATATTTAATATTCAAGTCCATTTCATTATCTAGTGAGTTTAAATCATTTTTGGATCACCATCTCTCATGCACATAGTCCTCCCCAGTAATATATTAAAGCAACTATTTTCCTCTTTACATTTAAAATGGCTTAGTCATGCTGATTTTTTTTAGACGTTATTTCCAGGATTTTTGCAGAGGAGAAATTGAGACTGATTCTTCTTCAGTGTACAGCAATGCAGATCAACACTACCTCCAACACTGCCTCCAGGATTACATCAGTCCCAAAATAGGTATGAAATCAGTACCTAATCTTAAATCCCTCATCCAGAGGAAACACAAGCACTCCAATTTATTTAAAGTATTACTTGCTTTCTAAAAATATGTTTCTCACCATAGAAATTACTATTGTGTTTGTAGTTTTGTTGGTTTTATCTTTTTTTAAAGCCTGATCTATGGAGTTACCAGGTATGATTTATGTTTTTGAGGAACTGCACCAGCACCAACAGGAAGCACTCAGCCCCATGGCTTTGCTCATAAAAGGCTCTGTCACTCCTCTACTCTCGGGATAATTATAGCTGGTACTATCTTGCTGGAGACAGGGCTCACAAGAGCCAAAACTGGGGCATTTCCTTAAGAAGTCCTGGAGCATGTTGGTGCTCAGAGCCTTCAGGGTGCAATTCCTTATCATGAGGTCAGCAGCTGGGCATCTTACAACCCATGAAAAGGGCTCACAGTCTGAAGGAGACTGAGGGGACACTACACAGTTGTATACAACTTCCTCATGAAGGGAAATGGAGGGGTTGGCACCGATGTCTTCTCTCTGGCAACCCGTGACAGAAGCTGAGGGAATAGTCTGAAGCTGTGTCAGGGGAGGTTTAGGTTAGATATTAGAAAAAGGTTCTTCCCCCAGAGGGTGTTTGGGCACTGAAACAGCTCCCCAGGGCAGTGGTCACAGCCCCAAGCCTGAGAGAGTTCAAGAAATGTTTAGACAATGCTCTCAGGCACACGGTGTGATTCTCGGGAAAGTCCTATGCAGGGCCAAGAGTTGGACACAGTGATCCTTGTGGGTCACTTCCAACTCTGAATACTCTGTGATTCTGAGAAATCCTGCCAGCCAAGATCCACAACATGCTTTCCATCACCTTATGTGCAGGCAGACAGCCCCTGCTCATCAGTCTACTTGCAAAATACCAACTGAACAATATGAAACCTGGGGGAGGTCACAGTGAGGACTAATTCAGGCACCAAACCCAAGCAGGTATTCTAAACCTGTGACATGCTTTTGGGAAGCAGGTACTCCAGTTCCATGCAGTGGCCACAGGGGACATGCAGGGACAGAACTTCTCCCCATTGTCTCCTGTCACGCACCAGCACTGAGAGGTGCAAGAGCATTAACTGGAAGCTATGTCTCCGTTATGATGTCGAACAGCCATCAGTGGCTGCTGCTCCCATTGACTTGGCTAAACCTTTTTGAACCCATTTATATTTTTGTCAAGGAGAATTCACAAATTTAATTAAGTTCATATGAAAAGATACTTGCTTTTGTTCCTTCTAAGCCTTTTGCCTGGGTGCCTCTCTTTATTATTTTTTTTGTGTTGTTAACACTAATGAATAACCATTCCTCATTCAGGTTCTGCTCACCATTCATGGGCTCATGGAGCTGGGGCACAGCTCTCTCAGGTATTTTTTTCCAAGCTGAAAAAACCAAAATCTACTTCACTCCCTTTTTGAATGGAAGCTGTTTCCTACCTCTGATCATCATTGTTGCACTTTTCTGTGTCTTTTCTAATTCTACTACATCCTTTTTGAGAGGAATTTTGGCTGCAGTCAAGACCTGAAGGCAGTATAACATAATGATGTTTTCAGTTCCTTTCTTCTAAGCACTCAGATGATATTTTCATAAAACTATCAACTTCAAGATCTTTTTCCTGAATGACATGAGTTAAGAGCCACACTTTCCCCTCAGTATTACTGAGTATTTACTGACATTGACTTTTATTGCTGGTTTAATCCCAGTGACTCAGCTCTCTCTGAATCTTCTACAAAATCTTCAGTCAGCTTTGGATTTGGCTGTTCTCAGAAAACAGTCACGAACTCTGCACTCTGTCTGATCACACCTCTTCCTGTGGCATTTACAGAGAGATGCCATAGATCAGAGCCCAAACACACCCCAAGCTGGAATCACTGATAATCTTCGATGATTGTAAAAATCACTATTTGTTCTTAACTGTTTTTTCCTCTCCTTTTTTAAGGCTAAATATTAACCTAGGAGACCACTTCCCTTCTTCCCTAATGAAACTCCTTTTTACTGCTGAAACACAACTGAAGTAGATCTTCCTCCTTCAGAACACCGTTAGTGCTGATGGTGAAGCAAGACCTCGCAGCATAGGAGCTATGTTGGCCATCATCAATCCACCAAAATCCTGAAGCAAGATGTTAGCACAGCATCTGTCCTGGGAGACTCGGCAGGTGCTCATGGTCACCTCATCTCTCCAGGGTTGGTCTCTAGGGACAACCAGGGAGTCAGGGATGTGGCTCAAGCCACCAGGCAGCACTTTCAGGGGAGTCTGCACCCCAACTGAATGCCCAAGGACTGTGGCGATCCCTGAATGGGACACAGGAGGAAGGCACTGCTTGACCCCAAGGATGGGATTAGTGTAATTGCCATGTCCACGGAGAAAACTCTCCAAGGAGGTAGAAGAGCAAGAAGATCCTATTATGTATTTTACATACAACTCTTGCCTTATAGACAAGTCATGTCTGCTCCTAATCTGAGATCAGTGAATGACAGTATTTTATATAGAACAGTAACTTTTGATTTACATATGTAAGAGTTGTTGATTCTATCTGTGTCCAGATGTCTGGAAAAGGAAGCAGCTTTCCCCCACCTCCCTCCTGCTCCCTGAGAGGCTATTAACCTCCGACTGACGCAAACTAATATGCAATCGCAATTCCCCAGCTCCAACTCAAAAATGCAGACATTACCATAATCGGCTAAAACAAGTATTTATAAACATTTCAACGGGCAAGATATCATCAGCAGGGGCCTTGAACATTTGTCTTAAAATTTATTAACCAACCAAAGAAAAAGTGGCATAAATAAAGCAAAGGTTTGCTGCTGCTGCTTTTTAAGAATAACCTGATGATACGAAATAATCTTGCAGACAATGTCATGAATTACATGACCTCATGTTTTACAAACATGACTCCTTCATTGCCACTATCGCAAAACCAACTGACTTTATGGCTGCAACTCATGGGAAAAAAAACTATTCAAGTACTTGCTTTCTATTTTTACTACTGTTATTTAGAGAAATCTTCAAAATCCAACTAGTAAAGCTCCAAATTTCTCCCTCCCCAGCTCAAGCTATAATACTGCCTCTAAAAACTACAACTTGTGACTATGTTGTCTTGAAACTGTGTGTGTATTTGGACATCCAGACACAGAACTTGGCTGAGCTATATTCGTGTTCTAGAGAGCTATCACACGTGGCTGAACTTTATGAAGCAGTAGCGAGAAACTCCTGCTGATCTGCAGTATGGTTCCAGAATAACTCTATTTGTATCAATGCAGTTGGGTGGGATTTAGCTGGGCTAACATAATGGATCATGTCCTAAAATAAGACCAGTTTTATTAATGCACTCATCAAATTACTTTTCACTTATCTGTAAAATTATTTTAATTATATACATTCTCCAGAAACCTACTGCAAATAAGGCCACCTATAATTACAGAACCTCTTTATAGCAACCCTCTCCTGGTGGGCCCAGAAGAGGATGCAAGAATCCACAGACCAAATACATCATGATCCATCTAAGAGAGGGTGTTGCCCATTGATCTGTACAATAGGGCTCCTGCCAAACAATGTAAAACAATCTGAAATAATATTGAAATATATGGCAAATGCAACTGGGAATTGAGAGAGAAAGGCTCATGTGACATATTCAAATCTCTCAAAATGAAGATGCATCCATGAATCAGCATCCTGCTCAGTCACTTTATGTTTTAAATACCTATTTCTATTGGAGCTGCTCAAAGCATGAGCATGGCCAAGAGACATATGCCCACAAAAGAAGCGGGATGATGGAAATTTGAGGACCAAGCCAAGGTCAGGGAAAGCAGACAGAAGAAACAGACTGCACTGAATATTTCAACTTCCCCAAAATGCCCAAACAGAACCACTTTTCTGAGAGCAAAGAATTCAGGGTGTCTGGGCCAAATAATAAATTCTATCACAGCCCCTTCATGTCCCACACTGAATTCCCTCTATAGCAAAGAAAATGTTTGGGAACCACCTCCTGTGCTCTTCAAGTCTGGCATCTAACCCCACCTCCTGCCTGCTGAGCTCATTCAGCACCTGTAGGTGCTCGCAGAAGTCCTTTGGTGCCTGCTTAGCTCCTTTCATCTCAGGGTCCCAGAATATCTTCTGCAGCTGCATAAACTATTGCTTTGCAAGAAGAAAGTGGGATTACAAGTCATGTGCACGCGAAGCAAAGGTCCATCAGTCATTTTGAAGCATGGCAGGGATGGCATGGAGTGCAGAGCAGGGCTAAGTGGCCATCTGCCAGGGCAGCAGCTCTGGGGGCTCCTGCACCAGCCCCATGCAGAGACACACACAAGAAAGAGCATGTGAAGACCTCAGAGCTCGTTTTGCAAAATTCTGGCTTCATCTTGTGAAATTAGTCCACGTCGCACTGCGAGCAATGCACGAGAGTGAGTCGGGAACCCAGCCGCAGCCGCCTGGCTCCAGCTCTCCCCTCCCAAGCCCAAAGGTTGGGAAAAATCTGGGACAAGTATTTATGGGTTCGGCACTGCAGCTGAGGAGCCAGTAACGCAAGAGCAGAACACGGTGTTATTTGAGTTGCATCTGCAAAAGCAGTTGCTGTGGTTTTTTTCTTCATGAACAATTTAGACATATTAAAAATAACATTTTATAAAAATAGAAGAGCAAGCTCAAATTTATCCCATAATACTGAAAGCACAATTCCTGTTCATGTAAGGCGAATTATTTAAGTATACACACAGGACAAATTTAACTTAAACACAGCAAATAAATGGGTGTTTTATTTCTGCTTTAAGCACCACAATGAGCAATTAAGCTCAAAATTTCAAAGCCATTAAAGTGACTATTAAAGTGACTAACTCCCACAGAAGTCAAGGTGAGAGAGAAATGTGAAGTCCTCTGAGGCTCTGTATTTTAATGCAGATTAAATATTTATTAACTACTGCAATCTAACAAGATTTCGGCCTGAAAATTTCCCTGCCATCTCTAAAGGAAATGGCTTGGAACAATTTCAGTTACATATAAACAAAGACTGCATTCTGAAACCCTCACTCAGGTAAAGCTCCCATTGCCTTCACCAAATAAAACCAGCAGGATCAGGTAGGTAAAAAATAAAGCCAATTTGACATGATATTTATCTGCTACAGCTACAACACCGAGTAGGAAAGTGTGGTATGCTCCGTAATTGAGTGGTAAGTTGTCTTTCATATTATATTTTTCTTATGCAATTTATTTCACAGTGATTAAATCAAAAATATAAGCAATGAACTTACCCAAATTCTTTGATCAGGCAATTGGAACTGGGAGCAAAATTGAAACAAAAACAACACATTATTCCTGCATTGGAACCCTCATAGCAATCAATCTACTTATTAAGATTTTATTTAAAGATAGTAATTAAAATGTTATTCTGAATGACTTGTTGCAGGGGGTTGTTATCTTCCTAAAAATGCAATCCCCGCAATGGCAAATTATTATGAAATGCTATTAAATGATCTAGTTTTCCTAACTTTTGGGCTACTGGCACTGGGAGGAATTTTGCCCAGGCAGGGACAGGGTAAGGACTTCAGGGTTTGTGTCTTTAAGCTCTACGTGAGAAACCTATATGAAAGATCCATCTGTTTGCTGTCATATTACCCAGACCAAAAAACAATAAATTCTTGCCTCACGAGATGGCAATTTTCAGAAAGAACTTCACCTACAGAAACACAAGTTTGTAGGACACAAACAGTAACTTTGTAGATATTTTACATGGATAAATCCTGCCAGCAGAAAATGAAAACTTGCGGAGCACTCCCCACCTGTACTTTTACAGGGGTGAACAGGGCTATAAAGGAAAAACAGCTTTTCTGGAAGCCGTTCCCAGGTCCTCCATAAATACCGAGCCAGATTCTGTCTTTGCAAACAGGAGACTCCTTTCTATTAAAGTCTGCAAGAAAGCACTTTTTGGCGTTTACTTTTTTGACAGGACAGGTGACGGTGGTTTAGTTTTCTTTTACAATGTACTAAGAGTGTCTGTTACACTCCTGACCTTTGTATTGATCCATCTCGCACCAAGTTAAAGACGTTATCCCTCACAGCCAGGTAAGTGATAAAAGGAAAGCCGGACTTTACCACGGACTTTTTTTTCTCTACTGCACAAGGAGAAATGTCGAGGAGAGGGTTCAGCAAGGCTGGTGCACAGCCAGCCCACCCTCCTGCCACAGGGCGCTGTCTCTGCCCCACCTGGGCTGGTCCTACCATAGGGAGGTGCCATCCAACACCTCCTCCTCATACTGATGGACTTGGTGGCCACACTGGGACCTTCCTCAGGCATCAGCAATAGATAACTAAGTCTCTATGAAAACGCAAGAAGGGTGAAATCCCAACATCCTGCCCATTAACGGGAAAATGCCCAGCATCTCCATTTTCCTTGCATGCCTACAGCATCCTCACCTGATTACCACTGACTTTTCTCCAATTCCCCAGGTAATTCAGAGGCATAGAACGCTATGTAGATGAGTATCCAACTCCTTTCCTTACCTGCCACAGCCAAACTCCTACCAGTGCATTTTACCCCAACAAATCCCTTTCCCACCCACAGACCACCCTACCAGCATCGGTCTGACCTGTGGCAACACCTTCAGAGCCCCCTGAATCCAACTACACTGAAACACATCAATTTACACCTTCTGAAAAGCCAGTGACTACTAAGCTAGTAGTGGGGTTTTTTGCATCAATATAGTACCTAAAATGCCCACATTTAAATTTATATTAGTATACAGCCCCTGAGCTGCATTAACAGAATCACTCACTTGATGAAGAGGAACCAGTCTGGTTTTACACGAGGAACACAAAGACGATTGAGCTCCTGTTTGTGTATTAGTACTATCTGCCATTAAACTGGAATTTTTACTTGTTTTGCCACTTGGGCAAATTTACCTTATTTAAGGTAACTCAGCAAGAAGTGTTGAGCTGCTATTAAATCTTAGACATAAATCCTCAGCAATTTTAATACTTCTTAAATACTTATATAACACTCACAAATACATATATAATGCCATAAATACTTATAATACGTAAATGCTGCTAAATACTTTAATACTTAGATCCATCACTTCCTTCAGATATTGAAACTGGAACACGGTGCTTTTCTGCACTCTCCACCCATACTACAGCATTATGTTTGTGCATCTGCAACCTTATATGCCATCAGCTGCTCTTCCTAGTTCTCCAAAAGTCCCATATTACAGAATATCTTCCATACAATTTAGGACATAACAACTTAGGACTTCATTGGGAAGAAAAAAAAGCAAGTGGTGAAGATTATTGGGGTGGTTTGCTCAGGAATTCACAGTAAGCTGAACCAGAGACAGCAGCTTGTGGTTGTGTGCCTAAAGTACAAGATGCATATGGGATGTCATTACTAGGGTGAAACAGCCCACAGTCAGCAAGGGATTCAACTTTTCAAATACCACAGAGCATTTTATTTCAGGTATAAGATTTAACCTAAATTTTTAGCAAAAATCTCCTTGACCAAGAAGGAGGAAGACAAAATGAGGGCACTGTGCTGTGAAGAGAAGTAATGGATAGTTTGCATACGTATCCTCTTCCTATACTCCATACACATTGTGGCTGTTACACTGTTTTGTGGACACACTCCTAAATGTTTGTTATTCAGGACTGTGGCCTACGAACAACAGAGCAGCCCTCCTACAACATATCTTCAGGTATGAAAGAGCAGGGATCCTACAAGATCATTCCACACACTATAGCCCACAACAGCTACCTCAAAAAGGTGGAGAATTTGCATTATGAGACTTGAAAGCACTACGTGGAAGGTTTTATCTCTTTTCTTGGAGTCCTTAAATATAATAAAATCCCTTGAAAACTGTGAATCTCAGCTATGCCAGCCCAACTTTAAACCTACATTGCCTCCTTGTAGTCAATAGTGACTCTATGAGCCCAGAGCACGGGAGAGTGTTGAAGAAGACATGAGGAGCTGCCAGCGTTGGTAGCTATGCTATGGTTTTGGAGGAACGTGGCTCTAAATCATACATGAAGTTAGAACCTGGCTTCCTCTATAATCAAAACATGTTGTTTCATCTGCAAAACATCAAGAAGCTCGGAACAATGCTTACACTTTTCCACGACAATGGTCCAGTAAAAACTGTATGTTTTAGGAAATCCAAAAATGACTAAGACTGCATTCATTTCTCCGCACCTGCTTTGAAGCATCAGCAGGCTTGTTTACAACACCAAAATTCCCAAAATACTTACTTGTGGATGAAACAAGAATCCGGGGGAAGGTCTCAAGTATTTCTCTTTTAAAGCTTCCAGTGGGTCAGTTAACTTTCTTTTCTCTACTCTGTAAATGTTAAAATTAGATTTGCTTGTGAAGAATCAGTCTCAGATATGAATAATCATACAGCTAATCAGGTTTAAAACAGTCAATTATACATCAAGTGATTTGTTTCTAAGAGATAACAGTAAAAGACAAGGGAGGACAGTCTACTCTCGACTTCCACATACAGCTCATTACTATGAGGGTGGGGCTAGGAATCACCATTAAAGGAGTTTATACCATGTATATAGGGAATAATCCCATTTCAAAAGATTGGTAAAAATTGTAACAGGAAGCAATTACTATCTACTAAGCACTTTTATAAAGAAATAAGGAAACTGAGTGTGCTCTCCACTCAGATGAGAGGAATTCAAGGCAACAGAGCCTTGAGTCATGGGTCCCTTCTCATTTGCTCATGCACAACATTACAGCCATCACCCTGGAACCCTTTTCTGTGAATGGCCATGGACAAGCAGGGGAAGAAAGGTGGGTTTGTAGGAACACACCGAATCTGGGACACGTGGGCATTCAGGTAGCGAAACACAGTGTGCATAATTTGTGGATAACACTGTGGAAATCTGAAGCTTTTGCTTTTTCTGTTACTGATGTGTATGGTTTAAGGGACAGATCTTGTTGTCCATATGTTGATGCAACTCATGGCAAAGGACAGATCAGTAACAAAGGGTCTTCTGCTATGCTGCCAGAATTTGTACAGATTTCATTACAGTCATAGAAATGTACTCATAGAATGGTTTGGGTCAGAAGGAGCCTTAAAGATCACCTAGTTCCACACCCCCTGCCATGGGCAGGGGAGTTTATAATGCAATTTAATTAGTTTGTAATGCAGGACCATAAAGCACGGATCATTATTCCCGCTGCTTCAGGCATTTTAAATGAATATGACGCAAAGAAAACCTATGGTCTAATACAGATATCAATCTGGCATGAATAAAACCATCTCAGTAAATAGCATCATATCCTGTTTCTTCATAATGCAGACTTGTTGTCTTATGTGCCAGCATTCTCCAAAAACTTTGCCCACAGCATTTCTTTTTCAGATAAAGTAATAAATAAACATAATTTATTGTGTTAGGCCGTAACTTTTTTTTTTTTTTTAGCAATAGGCTGTAAAATCCGTCATTTATATTACAGACAAATATTTTTATGGCTAATATTTCTCTAAACTAATTTAGATGCATGGCTTTGGCTAGTTACAGATATATGAGCAGAAAGGGCAAAGAGGGGCTGACGTAAACAGGACACAGGTGAAACTCAGATCCCAGTCCGATCCTTCTCGGCTCTGCTGGGAAACACCAGGAGGTCTGGATTTTACCAATGGTTTTTAAAACCTCAACTCACCGGGCTCACTGACAGTGTCTATTTGTGCATCTATCGAAACTAACAACAAGGCTCTCACTGATTTCACAAAGTAGATCACTGATGGGGCCCTGAGCAACCTGGTCTAGTGGAAGATGTCCCTGCCCATGGCAGGCAGTTGGAATGAGATGATCTTTAAGGTCCCTTCCAATCCAAGCCTTTCTATGGTGAAATAGCCCACTGATGAGGCTTTGTACACACAAGGACACTGAGCCTTCAATTATATGAATTAAATGCCCAAAGAAATCAACCCACAGCCCAAACAATGGTAAAAAAGGGCAGAAGTCATTCTCATTTTCCGTATTTTTAGTACATTTTAGGACCAATATGCTTCTCTGCTGTACTTACGAGATATTCCTACTGAATTCAAGAGGAATTGGCAAGGTGGAATGCAACAGGCACCCTGGGGAGGCACTATTATCTCCAGGGGAAGGCAGAGTGATTAGCAATTTGGAAGAAAAGGAATTTCAGGTAAACCAGTGACGTCAAATACACAGTAAATATACAAATTTTCAATACTGGTGCCAGTTCATTTATGGGTAAGAGAATATATTCAACTTCTGCATGTCAAGCTATGCAGGTTAAACTAATGACTCATGGCAATGAGGGTAGTCATGAAGACTTGCTAATTGCAGTATTAGTAGCCCTGGGGCTGACTTGGAGCAGCTGGGATGTGCAGGTCGGCATGCAACCTGGGCTCCCCAAGCTCCAGCCTTGGGATGCTGCCTCCAGGGACACTGAGACAGGGATGGGATTGTGGCCCTGGCAGACCTGTCTGCCTGTGCCAAAGGATGTTGAGAAGCAGCAGATAGCGCATTACCTGTAAATGGGATCCATAAAGAATGGGGTGGGCCTGGCGTGTTGCAAAGAGGACTCTGAAGCTTTCCTTTGCTCAAGGTCTCCTCCTTTCTTCTCTCCAAAGATGTGGTTTTTCCGAGGCTCAGCTTGTTTTGTGCTACTGGCTCGACTTCGGCTGCCCATGCTGAGATCTAGGGGCTGGTCTTGGCTTGCTGCAGAGGGGGCTGCTGGCTTTGAGGGTATGGGAGTAAGTGGCTTCTCCTCCTTACGCTTTATGGTGAGGTCAAAGGGAGACTCAGAGCTTCCCTTTGGGATCTTCTTTATTTCACTGGGTGATTGGGGCTCCACTTTCAAGGGTAACGGTCTCAAGTCTCTATCAGGAAATGGATACATTGACTGAGAGAATGCTGGAAAAAACGGGAGGGGAAACATGGAAGGGTAAGGTAAGGCTCCGACTTTTTTGTCTTGAAGCCCCACAAGTCCTGTTGAACCAAAGTACTTTTCAGCAATAGAAGCAATAGCCTTTATAGAATCATTCACCGCTCCTGACACCGCAGTCTGCTCCTCTAAGGATGGTGAGAAAATGGAATGATTGCTGTGGTCTTTCTTATTATTTATTGCCGCCAGGCTCTGCAGAGAGCTTACTTTGTCTTTGAACATTTTACCATTTTCTTTAAATTTCTCTTTCTCACTTTCAATGTCACTTTCCAGATCAGAGCCCGAGGTGGTTTCCAGGTCACTGCCACTGGGGGTACTGACATCGTCAAGGTCAAGGTCACTACTCTCTGACTGGTCACTGAGTTTCTCATGCGGCCTCTCTTCAGAGGACCCTTCTGGTTGAAGCTCCACTGGCTTATTCTCCCCTACTGATGGTGGTTTATTTAGTGCCTTCAAAATATCCTGGGTGGCTGGCAGTATCTGAGGATTTGTCATGAGGGGACTTTGGCTTTTGTTTGTCTGATCTGTGCTCGGAAGTCCTTTAACAGGAGAACTAGTAGGTAGCAAAGGTGGCCTGTGGTACAAGCCTGAAGGAAACAGACCGGGGAAGCTAAAAGAAAATCCAGGAGCTGTTGGAAAGGTAAGACCAGCAGGATGCCTACTGGCTCCAAAATAGTCAGCAAGGCCCGGATTTGCATGATTCATATTAACCATGGACGTTTTATCCATAGCTGGGGTTCCAGGAAGAGAAATGCCTTGGCCAAAAAATCCTCCTGCTGCAAAATGGTTCTTGCCCTCACAAAATCTCCTGTGTTTATTTAAGGAAGACGTAGTGCTGAACATTTGTCCACAGTCTTTGCACTTGATTTGGGTTCTGCAATCAGCATGCATGCGCTTATGACGACAAAGGTTTGAAAACTGAGTATAGGACTTATGGCAGACCTCACCTGTATGTAAACAACAACAACAACACATCTCAGGCTTTATGGTAATTGCCCCCACCCTCAAAATTGTGCAAATAACACCAGTTTTTTTACCCGCCAAATGTCAATGAGGAAGCTGAAGGGATAAATCTGGATTCACAAATGTACAAAAGCTCTTGTACTCTCCAAAGCAAGGCATCTGAGCAGACAAATGTCTAAAGACAGCACCAAAACCCACTCCAACAAACCAGAAAAGGTCTGGAATCACTAAAAGATCAAATTTCCTTGTTTGCTCTTTGCATTGCACAGTGTTGCATATTACCATTATTCCATGTTGCATTAGTACCCATAACCCCACCAGGAGCCACAGCTCAGTGCTGTGACCCCATATGAACCCACAGTGCTCCTGTGCAAGAGCACAGGTGTCTTCAAACGACATCCACTTATGTCACTAATCACATGTGGAAATTAGTCATTAAAATAAATATTTGCAGGACCAGACAGAGACAGAGCTGCCTCACACAGCTTTCATCTGCAAGACCACAAGGATAGGAAAGAGGTGAAGGAGGAGACAACCAGGTATTTTCCAGGTATAACCTTGTTAACAAACAACATCTTTTCCCACTTACAATTTAAACTATAATCTCATGGAAGTCCAGGCTAGAGCCTGAGCAACCTCAGTCAAGTACTCTCGTATGTCCAAAGCATTTCTATTCTTGCAATGCATACAGTGCTTGAGATGCTGTTACTCTGTAAATTTCACATCTTAATAACTTTACTGGTCTTAATATTGCTTATTTGCCTCTTGCACATGACAAAATACACTATATTTCAAGAACAATTTCCCTTAAGAATGCAGCTGTATTTATTTGAACGTCTGATACTCAAAAAGAGCTTGATGGATTTCCTTACAAACTCCTCTGGGATAAGAATAGCTTCAGCCTCACAAAAGCAGCACTTGGAGAAAGCCTGGGACTACAGATCTACCTCAAGGACATGGGCCTGATCTAGCCTGTGGCACTTGACACATTGGAGCACAGTGTCCAGCAACCATTCACAGCAGCATGAGCCTGAAGCAGTCCCAGTGGTGCAGAGCACGACACTATAGAGTCAATCTCATCACTGACACAAACAGAATTTTGCAGGCTCCTGATTTTCTGGCTGCAAATTGGGAGCAAATTGGGGTAGCAACCAAGTTGTAAATCTGTAAGTTAAAGTTGGGTTTGGAAGAGGGCAACGCTCAGCTCCCCAGTGCCTTTTCATATCCCCTTTTGGCATCCTTTGGATGAGCAGGAGCATCAGGCAAGTCCCAAGTCTGCACTGTGTCTTGTGCTCTTCATCATGCTCTAATTTGTCTATAGCTCTGCACCGTCTTGCTTCTAACAGTATCAGCCCCAGCCTTGTATAAAAACAAGTCAGCAACATTATCAGCAAGCAGTATTATCCCTCTGTAATAAATCCTTTTTTTTTTTTCCCAGCCAGGAAAAAGCATGTGGCCACTTTATTTTTATTTAATTTGTGTTATATCATAAACTCTCATCTTTCACACATCAAAGCCATGCAACAATACACATTGTGTATTCTGAGGCCTTTTTAACAATCATTTTCATGATTTGAGACAGTCTGACATAATTTACAATGGCTCTATTTTAAGCCTGCAAAGGAAACTGAATTGAATGTATCCCATCCTGCACTCTTGGTTCCCATGAACTGCAATCACGTCCTCTAACTTCCACTTGCATCGGGGCCTGCGCTAACCTTCCTGCTCCTCTAAATCTCTGCCCTTGAGAAACTTGACCACTTGTTGTCATCTCCTAACTGTTTACCTCTTCAGCAGGCAGCTTCGTATCTCAGCAACAATGCTCCTATTGTTCCAGGGCCTGATCCTGCCCCATCCACCCGTTTTCCCTGTTCACATCCCACTGACATCTCTGGGACAATTCATGGGGTAAAGAGTGCAGAATTGGGCCCAAACACAGGAAATTTGCAATGCGGTAATTCAGGAAGAATGTTTGTTGCTGTGTATCAGTTACTGTTCCTGCTGGAAATCTTCATTCACAAGGAAAGACAGAAAAGACAGAAACTAAAAAATAAAATGGAAAAGAAAGAAAGAAAAATATGGAAGAGAAAGGGAAAAGAGAGACAAGAAGGATGAGGAAAGGAGAGATTATTCTAGTTCCTTGAAAGTGCTTGATTTTCCCTTGATAAGTACCTGCTGTTCCTTTAATATTTTATTTACCTACTTAACATAGAACTATCTTTTATTTAATATAGAACTATTTATTGTTTATTTGTTGCAGTATGAAGGTCTGATTTTTCTCCTGTTTTCTCCTATTTTTAACTTAAATGCAGGCATAAGATTTCTGCTCCAACCTCCATACTTGAGGGTACAGAATCCATCCTCTTACCTTCACTGATGAGGTTTTACACAGCAAGCTCCCTCTGCTCTTATCACATTGATCACAGACACAAAATCAAACTGACCAAAATGGTGACTCGAGTGTCGTATCCATATGTTCACACAAGCTTCATCTTGGATATTATGGATCAACTTCTCTCCATGTGTAAAGCAGGATAGACCATATAGATTTTTCCAGAAAAACATATCTCAAGTGTATGCATTTCCAAGGCTAGGCTAATGTAGAACTAAAAAAGGAACTTCTGATCTTCTACCAGGTTGCGTCAAGGGCAAAGAAATTAATGTTGAAGCCCTTACTCCCTGGAGCAGTCTTAGTCTTGAAGACCATCACCTGAAGCCTGGGTGTATCACAGCATCAGTGATGGGCACACCTAATGCCCCTTGGATTTTGGAGGAGGCTATGTCTAAATTGTGCCACTTCTAGCTCCATGGACACTACAAGGAGCCAGGATTCCTCAGATAAGTTTGTGTTATAAGATCTACCTGCTTTTCATCACATGGCTTACACTTTAATAGATTAGGGATGGTTATCAACTTTCATTGCTTCCATATATCAAAGCAACAGAAGCTGGGTTTGATTTCTACTGTTGCACCTTATGAAATCCTTTAAATCTCACTGCCATACTTTTAAACAACTAACTTGTAAGGGAAGCTTCCTTGCAGCTTTTATTGCTCTACACACCCCAGGTTTAACACAGACTCCCAATGTGGCTCCAAAATTGCAAAAACTAACCTCATGCCTATGCATACTCTGTACTTCGATTGTCTCTGGACCCCAAATTAGCCAGCAGTTAAGTTTGCATATTTTCTGCTTATTAAAAAAATTACTGTAAGTACTATTTTGAAGATGTTCAGTCTATTATGGCATGTGGTTTCTATTTGGGGAGGCTGGAGATTTTGTGAAGGCAGTGAGTAATTACCTTAGTGTTGGTGAGTTTTCACTCAGGCTTGGGCGGTGCACTGTAATAAGAGACAGTTGCCATAAACAGACTGGTACGAGTAAATCATGGTGTGTGGCCTTCTGGTGGAAAACAGATATCTGCTTTAGGTGACCCTACCTCCCTCCCATGGCTCATCAAAGCCAACCAAACATGTGGTCTCCAAACTCTTTTGTTCTGCTGTTATGTAGCTGTTATTTGTAGGTTGCTCAATGGGGTTTCATTCTTGACACTGTACGTGTGAAGAATACCAGTTGCTGTTTTGATTTATCAGAGTAAACAGTAACAAAGAGCATCTGAGAGATTATGCCATTTATGAGAGGTGCCACTTAGAGACTTTTATGTAGGATGTTGCAATAGGACTATCTGAAAACTCCCTACCTAGCTAGAAGTTGCTGTTTCCTAATTAAGTGTGATTACTTAACCTTCCATCAGTTTTAAAAATTATTAGTGATATTTCCTATTGGATCTAATTACTTATTTTCTCATTGAAATAGTCCAAATCAAAAGTATTACTCGCCCAATGGCAGGTATAAAGTTTTCGCACAAATGAGTTAAGCCAGTTCTTGAAGAATTAGCTTGTGGCCAATGCTTTGTCCAGGTGTGGTGTTGATATTTTGGCAAAATGTTGCTGAGAGCAGCAAAAGATTAAAAGGTTTAGTGGACAAGTAGGGGAGGTAGTCACAAGGTGTCTTTCAAGTCATAGCAGGTGCCTGAAAAGGCTGTGGTGGATAGTAGCACTGCCAAGAACAATATTCCTAAATATTTTCTGCCTGTGCTTCCCTGGTGAAGGGGAGAGAAAGCAACCTGAACCCTCACCAGAGACTGGCTCAGCAGTAAACACAACTGTGAGACGCTGAGGATCTGATTTAAGCTCAGTACAGTGTCAGGGCCACAGGCGAGGCAAGTTTTACTGCTGGAGCAGGTGTTGGTGAAGATCTAATAGCTCAACTCAGTACTTAAATTTGGGGCATGCAAAGAAGCCTCAAGGAGGGTGGCAAGCTGCACAAACTCACTGCCTCTGAGGTTTATTTTCCAGCTCCAACAAAAGTCATGGCATCTGCTGTGGAGACTCTGCAGCCCAAAATTAACTCCTAAAGCAAGGAGGAGAGCAGCCAGGTCAGCATGGTGCACAGCAAGGAGGCTGCAGCTGCCAAGCCTGGCATGGTGCCTTCCTGCTAAATCCCACTCCTCACTTTGCATCTGTGCATAGAAAAACATCCCAGGGACAGCATGTACATTTTTACAGCATACAGTGTCTGTCTGAAAAGGAAAATTATACAAAAATAACTCTTTGCATTGGACCCAGAACTCATTTAATAACTCACAACCACATGACACCAGTGGGAAACTCCAAGGGAACAGAACACAACCTCCTGCTTCCACATTGTGCTGCTTTATGGCAAAAGAAACAACACTTAGTCAAAGATGTTTAGTTGAAGACTTACATATAAAAGGTTTGACACTGCTGTGGATGTGTTTATGCTGTTTGAGGCCTGAAGAAGTGGCAAAGGTTTTGCCACACTCTGGACAAGCATGAGCACGAGCCCCAACATGCTGGGAACGAATGTGCCTCTGAAGGTTGCTGGGGTCCGTGAAAACCTGCTAGGAAATGAGTACTGATTAACCAAGAAACTTGAGTGAGAAAGAAGCCAGTTATTACAAGAATCTTTTAAAATTCAAACCTTGGAGCTATTTTGGGGAGTATTTAAGATTAAAAACCTCACTAATGACCATCAGTGGGAGCTGTGCCTGCAGGATAGGGCCTCAGTTTTCTAGGATAAGCTAAGTAGTGGGTGGATCTGTTAATCCCCTTGCAAAAAATACATTTGACCTTGCCATTAGAAATTGCACTTCTGAGGTCAGGGACTTCATGGAAAGTAAGTCAAAATGTGGCTACTTGAAATCTCTAAGCATTACTGCAATAGAAATACTTTATATCCACATCTCAGTGCCTGACAGTGGGAGATCCTGTACATGGCACAGTCCTAGCACCCAGGGCTTGTTTGCATCTTTCAAGGGTCAGCTCAATATAAAATTCCCATTATTGCACAAATCAACTTAAAAGCAAACAAGTCCTTATGCAAAGGGCCCAAGTTTGGGGAATCTGATAAAAAAACAATTCAGAGCACCACATCCTGTACTAATAATCCACCCAGCAAGCCCAGTGCTGGGAAGTGGGAAGATGCTCTAGAGATGAGTGCAGCTGGGAGCTGGGCCCCACTGGTGTTTCTTATTTTGATTTACATTGCAGTAGTGTCCTGAAGTTTCTGGTCCCAAGAGCTGGCACATAGCCTGGGGAACACTCTGCCCTGAATTTCCCTGGGGTTTCTTGCCCCTCAGTGATTCTCTTACACCCGACAAATCCTTGCAAGGAGGCAAGCCCTGAGCTTGAGGATGCTCAGTATCCTGCATCAGACTCCACGGGCATTTCCAAATCAAAAGGGGTAAAAAATAACATATTTATAAAGTAGAAGTGTAAATCCTTGAGAAACCATCTGGAGCGTGGCAGAAGCCCGATGCCCTCCTGCATCCCAGCCCTGGGCATTCCCACTTCCATGCTCCCATGCATCCAGTAGCACAAGCAGTGGCCAGGCAGCCTACAAATTCACTGTACCTTGGCACAGTTTTCACACTCGTAGTGCTTCCCGCTGTCGTGGGACATTTGGTGACGTATCAAGTTGGACTTCCAGTTAAAAGCTTTGGGGCACTGGTCACACTTGTACTCCCTCTCCTCGCTGTGCGACAACATGTGTTTCTCCAGGCTGTGGAACCAAGAACAGGGCTCAGTGAGGTCCCACACACGTGGGTTTATTAGTGGTTTATAGGAAGAGGAGAGAGCAGAGTATATAGTTACAGCAAAACATTTTAAAAGCCCCAAAGGCCTAATCCAGACAGAAACAAGTCCTTTGAGTACCAGGCTCACCCCAGCCAGGAGGCAGAACCTCCTCCTCCCGACCAGAATAACACATCCTCTCATGTTTTGCCAGGCCACTGGCAAATGCTCCAGGAGATGCTGCTGCCATCGCTCCCTAAGGAGATTATTTCATACACCTCTCAGTATTTCACCCTGGTAATTCATCCCTGCAGTCTGAATTATTTCTACCTTATGACTTTCCCTCTAAATACACCTTGGATCCTACCACCTGCCATAAATCCAATCCTTTGATGGGAGTCAATTTTTCTTACAGCACAAATAGATGAGGAATACCTCCTCTGGAGTAGGACAGGATGAGCTTAAGAACCCTCTAGATACAGTACACTACAACTGAAGTTATTCTTGATTATTATTAACCATGTTCAATTATGCAGTTGTTTATTCATTCATTTCTGAGTGGTTTATTCAGTCTAGTAGTATTCAGTCTCCTAATTTCTGCTGCATGACTTTGAATTAATTTTTCTCTCTGAATTTTTATTAGTCATTTGTAGTAAATATATATTTTTTAAAACCTGCATTGCTTGGTCCTATATAGAGTTGTAACTCACACTATAGCTTGAGGAAAAATCACTGCATAATGGAAGAGTGGATTCATAGAAAAGCCACGGGAAACTGGAATTTTTAGCTTAGGATGCCAAAGTTTCCTCACATGAAGCTCCCATTGATCTCTGCTGAATAAGTGACAAACCTGCTGGGGTTACAGTCTCATTTGGTTTGTGCAGCCCAAATAACAACTTCAATTCTCAGACACAGGTCATGGAAATGCTTTCACCCTGCAGATGCTCTTGCTTCTATCCCTCTCCTTTCTTTGGGGGAAAAAATTAATTCTGGCTTCTCCTCCCACTACCTTTATAACAACTGACTCTCCATCATGCACTGGTAAACAAATCTGCCATTAAGACCTAGAGAGACTATTGTCCCTGACTCTGGTACCAGATCCCAGACTCTGCCACAGCTCTGTGACCTGCCATCAGCACTGGGCACTCCTGGACCCAACATCTCCATCTTCCTGATCAGCTATTTCTCCATTTAATTACTCACACCCTCAAGCATGTCTCATTCAGACCTTTTGTTTTATACAATCTGGATCTAGCACACTTTGGCACTTTTTTTGCTGTGAACTGTCTTTGTGGTGTATGAGCCTTTCAATAATTCAAGAGTTCGGAGAACGACTGCATTCCCTCTCATTTTTCACTCTTTCTCACAGTACTGCCCATCTATTTATGATGACTTGTTCTTTGTTTTCTGCCCTTTCTCTTCAATATTTAATATTTTAAGCTAAATTTACATTTCCTCAGTGATTCCTGTATGTTAGATATTGTCCTCTGGTTCACAGAGAGAAAAGAACCTTAAACCAAATAACTCATGCAAAACATGCAAAAATGTTACACACCAGAGTCCTGCCTCACCCAAGCTGCTGGAAAGCTTTCTAACTTGATCTGCCTCCATCAGCCCCATCAAATCAATCCCTCAGACTGAAAATTAGACACATGGAGCCACATGCTGCTCAACATCAGCCAGTGAACAAGACCTTGTGCCTGCACAACTTCCCACTCAGCAGGGTTGACCTAGTATGTGGGGAGTGATATTTGCCACATCCTGTTTTAATTTTGATGTCATTAATTTTGTGGAAGCGTAAGGATCAGGTCATACGACACATTGATCTGAGACCCCCTGTCTGATGCTGAACCACCTCTGCTCCCTTAAGGAGAGTGAAGGAGTGTCTGCTTTTTGGGAGAGACAGTTCCATCTTGCAAAACCAGCACCTGGAGCATCCAGGAGCAATTATCCAAAGGGGCTAACCCTGAGCAAGCAGAAATCCATGCTAACCTCTGATAGACACTACAACACCCTGAATCATGGACTAGTAAGGATTTCTATGGAAATCACAAACACCCAGAATACTCTAAATTGAAAAGTCAACACTTAAGGGACATATGATTATTAAGCAATGCAAACAAACACACTGCTGTTCCCAAAAAAGGGCAGTTCATAGTCACTTTGGTTGCGCCCACACAATGTGGAGAGGACAGAAGACACTGGGAGTATGGGAATGGTGCTACAGACTCCAGCTGACAGCAAGAGATCTTGGCCCGGGTCTGCTGCTGCTATCAACTAGCTTTCTACAAAATCCACTGCCTCACAACTGTGGAGGATCTAGCCCAGGATTTTGCTATTGAGATACCTCAGCTTTACTATCAAATGTTGCCTGAAGTTAAACCTTTCCCTGGTCAAGGAAGCACCAAGATGTGAATCCGTGAGGGATGTGCTGCAGAAGCCACTGTGTACTCTGCGTAACTTCCAGTAATTCACAAAATTTGCTGTTAATCTGCATTGCAATATGAGATTTTTAGTAATCACAAAATATTGTGGCAGGAAATATATATTAGAATATAAGTTGTACCTTCTATTTACATTCTATGCCTATTTTGGGTACATATGCACACAGGTCTATGTGTTTTAACAGACAGATGACTTTAAGAAAACAATGAACCCCAGTGTTTCACAACAGCATGGCTATAAATATATATTAACATTTAGACATATATATTAACATCTCAAAACTGTCTCTAACTAAAATGGTTTGTTTGCAAAGTCAAAATTGGTAACGTCTGTGAACACCACTCAGAGATGTTCCAAATTACTTCTATGTAAAAATAAGGAGCCCAGACCTTATTTTATCTGAAGTATAATCATTCCTGCGATTTCATTGCAACCAGCCCCATTCATGCCAGCTACAGATCTGATTATCAAAAGATCCAGTTCTTAATTTAAGGTCCTCACTCAGGACTTCAGTACAAGGACCAAATTTCCGATTTATTGAGACTCCATTGTTTTTTATACCATAAAACACCAACTAGCACAGAAATGTTGTCCATCTTCATCGTTGGTTTCTACAGTAGATACAACAGGTTCTGCCCTGCTGATGCCCTGTATAATCTGACTGAAGCCACTACAGAATTTGCCTCATTCAATCACATTTTAAACTTCTATTCCTACCTCTGTAAGTCTGGGAAGACTTGGTCACACTCTTTACACTCTTGGATTTCATGCACATCCTGAAGGTCATTCTCGTTCTCAAGCTTCTTCTGGAAGTCCTCCTCCACCATGGAGAAGGCGGAGTGAGGTGTGCTGCAGGGGAACTTCTGGTGGTCTACAAGCTCAGCCTTGGACTCAAAGAGCTGGTCACAGTCCTCGCAGCGGTACTGGCGCTCCTCTGGAAGACAAACGGGTTCAGCACAGGGAGAACACATCAGTTTTCAGTCATTTTAAACTACCATCCCATCAAGAGCTGGATGATGGTGTGGTTAAACGAAGAGTTGTCCATGAAAGAGAGAAGAACGTCAAAAGAAAGGAGGATTCCTAAACACGCTTTTAATAATGCTTTAATTCTATAATATATGACAGTACAATACTACACGTTAACTGCCGGGGTGACATCCAGTAGGGATCCCTAACAGTGGCTTAGGACAAAAGTCAGTGTGTTTATGTAACATTCTAAAAGGAATTATACAGGGTCTAAGGTGGATACCCAGTGGAGGCTGCCAGTCTCTGCATTTCCAAATGAAGGAGACTGACTTAAGACAGAAATATCAGCATCTAAAATAGCCAAAAGAGTGTTCATAGAACTTTTAAATCCTTTCATTTTCATCAGAGTCCTTCTGCAGCACCCAACCCTGTTCAAAGTAAGCCAGAGGCACATGAAGTTAAGGCACTTGCTTTGAATCCCATAAAATTGTTCACAACATGTTTCTTACTGAAATCAAGTGTACAAGATGACCAGAGTGTCACTCTGGAGTGAAACAGCATTGCATTAATTAGCAATTTCTACAAAAGAAAATCTCCAAAAACAAACTTGGAGAAGAGCAAACCATGATTATTTTTTTTCTGCTGGATTTTCTACTGATGGTCCTTAAAAGGAGCCAGACACCCTGGTTTGCTTCCAGATATAAATGCCCAGAGGCTCTGAGTCAGAAAGGCACTGAGGAGTCTGGCTGAAATCTCCAGTATATGTACTTGGTTGCTACTTGACAGTTGAGCTGATCCAGAGAAAGCGTCATAGGGTTCTGTTCTTGGCTGTCCATAAGCAACACTTTGGCTCAGTGTGCTTTTAAATTAGCCCTGTGGGACATATTCCTATGTGTGACTGCAGAGATTTCCTCTGGTGTCATTTATACAATAGCTACTTGACCATAGGGACTAGGCAGGGAAAACAGTATGCTGAAAGGGGGAACATCTTTAGCAATAACTAAACAAAGTCACTACCGGGGGAAAAAAAATCAAACACAAAACCAAATGGGAAAAAATAAATAACCCCCACCATTTTCTTAAGAGAACAAAAGATACTGCTCTAAATGTACAGGGAGTTATACGAAAGTGAAGACCTTGACACTTCCTGCCCTGGGAAAACCCCTCTGTACTGTTCCTGAATCCCTGAGAATTTGTAAAATGTCCCTGTTGGTTTAAACTGCAACCTACTCGGCATCAAGCAGATATCCTATACCCAGTCTTTGCTGCACCTGTATAACTCATTGTCCAACGGGTAACACAGCAAAACGAGTTTTAGGAGGTGGGGGACAAAATCTAGCAATAGCTCAGATATCGGATGAGCACGAGGAGGAAGAATGGCTTGAACGACCTCACAAATGACAGCAACATTAACAACCTGAGAATTTCTCCTTTCAAGATAACAGTTTGGCTAAGTGACAAAAACAAGTGATAAGAAAATAACCTATAATCATAGTCAATACAGGTCCTGCAGGAGCATCACAGCCTAGAGATAAGGACATGGACTCTTGTTCTCCTTTCGCAATACGCACTGAACGATCAGGTTTCAATCAGAAACAGAAGTGCAAAAGATGGGCAAATATAACCATGGTCCAGCTCCTCAGCCTGCCTACAGTGAAGCTATCCCAGATTTCAAAAGGATTCCAACAGAGGAGAAATCTCCCTAAGTTTTGGCTTAATTTCAATGATTCTTTCCATCAGGTTAAACAGTAAGAAAAGGCTAACCGTGGATGTCCGGAGCCATTGTCTCATGTGAATAATCTTCACTCTTCATGAACAGTAAGAGCTCCTCTCCTGGTTCAATATCTGCTACCACTCTGTAGAATATCTGGGGGGAAAAAAATCAAAAAGAGAAAGTAACGTGAGAACCACAACAAGCAAAGAAGAATCAACCATTGCTGGTGAGTGTTACAGACCAAAACCACGTGGCCAGAGCCTGCCCTGGCACGGTGCTGCTGCTGATCGCTGGAGAGATGCCAAATAACTATGGCAGGTCTGCTCCTTCCAGCCCCAAAGCCATTGTGTTTTGGGCTCTGTGAGGATAAAAAGGACAATTGTTTTCAATGGCTTCTGCTGCAAAATGAGCTGTGTGATGACTGCAGATATCACCAGCAACTTGCATGCTGAGTTATACCAAACCCGTGTACAGAGTAGCCATAAAATGCATCACTGAGTGATCCCTGTAAGGGAGAAACTCCTGTTGCATTGGGGAAAGGTACTAAAGTAACTGTAATGGTTGGACTCAATAATCTTAGAGGCTTTATCCAACCCTAATGATTCTATAATTCTAAAGCAGACATGAGGAGACGCTGCTGGTTAAGCCATGGGCATCCAGCCCCCAGTTCCGACCATCTACACAGTCCAGAAAGTAAGAAGATTATATGAACCAATGAGCCTGGTTATTCCTTAGCTTCAAATGGAAATAAAAGGAAAAATCAATCCTGGATGACAAAACACTGTGATCAGCCTAAGTTGCTGGTGGTGCCTGGGGCCAGTGGCACCTGGTACCCCCATACAGCTGATATTGGGCTCTGGGAAGGAGCACATCGAGGAGGCTGAGATGGGGTGAAGGGAACACTCTCCCTTGGGTCCGTACACCAGAGCAAGCACACGCCAGCTCTGCCGAAAGGAAATTCC